AAAAATATTCTGTTTGGGGCTGGAGAGATGGCTCAGTGGTTAAGAACACTGGTTGTTCTTGCAGAATATTTATATAGTTTTGTACATCTCTTGATCTGGTGTAGTCTTGCTATTCTGAATTTTTAAAAACCTCTGTAATACCAGGTTTCTTAGTCCTAGAAATTTATCTGAAAGTTTTTATCCTTTTTCTAGGCAGAACATCTGACTGGTGGTGGGGCTGGAGAGATGTCACAGTGGATAAGAGTACTGACTGCTCTTGCAGAAGACCTGGGTTTGATTCCTGGTATCCACATGATAAATAATAACTGTCCATAACTCCAGTTTCATAAAATCTGATGCCCTCTTCTAACAGCCACAGATATCACACAACTCAGGTACACTTACATACATGTAGGCAATTCATTCATACACATATAAAAATATAAATAAATAAAATATTTTTAAAAATTTGTTCAAAGCTGGAGCTCAGTGGTAGGGTATCTGCCTTTTATGCATGATACCCTAGGTTCAATTTCTAGTACTGCCAAAAAAAAAAAAATTGTTCCATTAACATATTCAAATTAGGTACCAAACAAGGTTTATTTATTGACTTTAGCTGATTGGACAAAGGAGACTTTTACTTCAGTTTCAGCTAAGTCCTGGAGCAGGAAGCAAAACCATTGGTACATGTAAATTCAAGATGAGGTGCTGTGTTTACTCCTTGGAGCTAGAAGAGACTATTAGTTGAACCAAACTAAGGAGAGTAAAGAGGAGAGGTTATGGCTGGAGAAGTCTGGAAAACATCAGCAAGGCTGATGGAGGGGATGTAGATTCACAGCAGGCTGTGCCTTCGTCAGTGGCAGGGCAGAGTACCCCTTGATCAGATGGGATGACAAGAGGCCTGTGGTCCCTTCAAAGTTAATGTGCCCAGATGTTCTTTTCGTTTGGTGCTAGGCTCTCTCAGCTGAAGAGGTTGGAGGCTCACATTTAATAAGGAAGCAGGCATGGGGCAAGTACAGAGTACAGGCATTGTCTATCAAGGATGCAGCCAGGGATTCCCAGTGAGGCAAAGCCCCAACTCATCAGCTTTTAATATTTGCCAATCTCAGAGAGCCAAATTGGTACCTGTTCCTACTCTTAGTTAGGTAGTGGGAGATCAGAGCAGAGGGAGGGATCAGCCAAGTCTTTTTCCACAGTCTAGCTTAAGCAGTATTGAGGTAGGAAAGACGATTTAACATTATGTGCCTTTCTGAGTTTTCAAAACTAAATTGAACTGTGATAAAGAAAAATCACTTCCAACGTGGGACAGAATCTCCTTCTGGGGGGAAAATTCTTTCCTGATAAAGTGCTTAAGCAATTTTCTGATTAATTGCAGTAAGATGAAAACCTCTTTTGGGAAGCCAAGCATTTAAGAGGGTTAATCTATGGTTAAGAGGGTTAATCTATGGTTGTATACATTTCATATCATGAAATTATTTATTTTCATTATATTTATTATTTTTATTTTATATGTATGAGAGGGTATTGCCTGCATGTAGTAGGTGCACCCAAGTCATGCAATGCCCATGGAGGTCAGAAGAGGGCATCATATGCCCTGGTACTGGAGTTGCAGATGGTTGTTAGCTGCCATGTGGGTGCTGGGAATCAAACCCAGGTCCTTTGCAGGAACACCCAATGCTCTTAACCTCTGAGCCATCTCCCCAACCCATACATCATGAAATTATTAAGATATTCATTGGAAGAACTAAAACAGGGAAAATAGAACATAAGTTCAATTCACACTATACTTAAAGCATGTTTTATATTCATGTTTAGTTGAATTTCTGCTATAAGTACTTAAACCCATATATGAACTTATATAGAGACAGCATGGAAAAAATGGTATCAGATGTGTTAGGATTATGGATGACTGATTTTTCCCCTTTTATTTTCAAAAAGTTTGTTATTTAAAATTACTTTAAGTTTTAGAAATATTTACTTAGAATTTCTGAAGTCTTAGAATCAAGTTATTGGCAATCCACGTGAAATGACACATAAAAATTTCCATTTGCTAATGTTCTGTTGTTGGCAGATGCAGTGCATTTTTTAGCTAAGCAAATGTCAATTGTTGCCATAGCACTTCTAAAGTTAAAGTAGAGCTACATAATAATTGGCAGGGGTGCTCTTGGGTAAATGTGGAGAAAAGTCAAAGGCTGATTAAGAAAAGGAAATGTCAGCATTCCCAGCCAATGATTTTGAAGATACACAACCAATGGGGAAGATGCATTAAGCAAACAAGATAAAATCTGAGCAATGCTTGCAAAGGCAATGGAGCAGAGCAGGGAGGGATCTGGAAGCACGTGGTATATTCCAGATAAAGTAGACTCAAGGGAAAAGTCCTTGTGTTGTATCGACTGCTCTTGCCTGTGGGTCACCTGCAGGATGACCAGTAAGAGGTTAGTGGAGGCTGGGGACAGCGAGTTTGACTACAAATGCAATGCAAAGAATCTGAAGACATTTGAGAATGACTTAAAATCTACGTTGATTCCATAGTCTGCATGAAATGTCTTGGGAGATAAAAGGAAGAGATAAACTGTGCTCTCTGCACTATCCCGACCTTCACTGTGCAAAATCATCCAGATTATCACTTCCAGAACATACTTTAAAAAATGATTAACCAGGGCTGGAGAGATGGCTCAGCAGCTAAGAACACTGGTTGTTCTTGCAGAGGACCTGGGTTCAAATGCCAGCACCCATATGGCAGCTAACAACTGTCTGTAATTCCAGTTCCAGGGGATCCAATGGCCTCTTCTGTCCTCCGCGGGCACTGCAGGACATGGGTGCCCTTACCTACATGCAGGTAATACACTCATACACATAAAATAAAAATAATAAAATGTAAAAAAATGATTAACCATACTCTGTCCAGTTTCAGATGATTTTTTTTTTTTTTTGGTGTTCCCAGATAGAATTGGTATGTAATATTTAAACAAGTTGCAGTACAGTGTTCTAACTATGTGGAGAGATGAGCACAGTTATTGTGGTCAACAAACAATTTGAGAAATGCAAATTCTCATATGTAAAAGGATTTGAAATTTAGAAGACAAATTATCAAAAGCTGTATCCAGGTTCTTTGCAGTGATGGGCTGGTATAAGGTAAGACCTTAAAATAGCTCACTAGGAAATCTAAACCACCTTGACTGCCCTGGGCAACTGAAATGCTGCTGCACAATAATCAAGACCACTGAACAAAGCTACCTACAAGTAAACAACAGGCAAAATGACTGTGAATCGTTTTCTGTTTCCATTAGCATGAGTCCAGATTATTAAAATTTCTTGTCCTGGGACTGGAGAGATGGCTCAGCAGTTAAGAGCACTGGCTGCTCTTGCAGAGAACCCAGGTTGGGTTCTCAGCACCGACATGATGACTTAAACCATCTGTAACTTCAGTTCCAGGGGATCTGATGCCCTCTTCTGACTTCCACAGGCATTGCATGATATGGGTGCACTTACATGCATGCAGGCAATTCACTCATATGCATAAAAAAATAAAAACATTAAAAAAAATTTCTTGTCCTAGAAAGTATCACAGTCTATTTACAATAGGAATACAAGTCAAAGCCTTTCTGACTCAGCAGCCTGACTGACAAAGTTAACTGATGAGCTAGCTCCCAGTCACCATAGATTTTGCAGTTGTCTGAACGTTTCATAATGATCTGGTGACCAAAAACACTCAGCCCTAAGCAGGTCCTCATTTCAAAAGCCCATCTTGGTGGGAGTGACTGAAGAGGGATTGGGAATGGAGATATTGGTCTAAGGATACAAAATTTGTTCACACAAAATAGAGATCATTACATTTACAGAATGATGACTACTGTTAATGATGAATATAGAAGCAGGTTCCAGGCCATCCAGAACTACACAGTGAGATCCTATCAAAAGAAAAAGAGGGAAGGGTGGCTGAAGAGATGGCTCAGCAGTTTAAGAGCACTGGCTGCTCTTGTAGAACGCCTGGGTTTGGTTCCCAGCACCCATAGGGCTGCTAACAAGTGGCTGTAACTCCAATTCCAGGGACTCTGATGCCATCTTCTTGACCTCTGAGGGCATTACATGCATGTGGTGCATTTATATATGTGCATGCAAAATATATGAAATTAAATGTACACTTGAAAGTTGCTGAGTTCTTAAATGTTCTCTCCATAAAAGTTATGAGTATGTTAATTAATTTGAATTAATTTCTTCACAGTATATACCAATATAAAAACACATTAGCTTAAAAATAATTACTTGGAGCTGAGCATGGTGGCACATGCCTTTACTCCCAGTACTTTACAAGATGTAGATCTCAGAGATGGAGGCCAGCCTGGGAGGTGTACATAGTGAGTTCCAGGCCAGCTAGGGCTAGGACTCAAAAGCCAAATATATATATATATGCTGGAGAGATGGCTCTTTGCTCTTCCAGAGGACCCAGGTTTGGTTCCCAGCACCCAGTGGCAGCTAAAAACTATCCTAACTCCAGTTCCAGGGGACGCCCTCTTCAGTCCTCAAAGGGCATTTTACGCACGCGCTGCACTAACATTCAGGCCAAACACACATAAAATTAAAAATTTTAAGTCGAGCATGATGGTGCACGCCTTTAGTCCCGGCACTAGGGAGGCAGAGGCAGGTAGATCTCTGTGAGACTGAGGCCAGCCTGGTCTACATAAGAGTTCCAGGTCAGCTGGGGTACAGGGAGACCCTGTCTCAAAACGATTTCACACATGTACATAATGTTATTTCGTAATTTTCACACCCCATTACTTTCATCCCCCTCACAGTCTCATTTAACTCATTCTTCCCAAGTCCTCCTCTCCCCATCTTGTTTAAAAACATCTCCTAACTGTTTTTGGTGTCAATTAAATGACATTGAGTTTGTGAGATCAATGTTAATATGACTTAATTCCTTTCATATGTATAAGATTATCAACACACTTTCTTTGGTATCAAACGTCAAAGGCTGGGGACTCGAGCACGGGTCCCTCGCCTGGCTGCTGCGGGACGCGGGCGGGCGCATCTTTGCTGGGAGCCACATTCTCGCCCGGAGCAGCATTTCTTTTCTGGAGCCGTATCCCCGCCGGGAGCCGAGCGAGGGCGGGGCGCCCAGTAGGCTGGGACGCCGGAGTCCGGTCGGGCTCCGGGCTCATTTGCGGCCCGTGGACGCGTGACCCGGCACGGCGCCCATGAGTCTGCTTTCCCGCGCAGTCTCCGCACCGCGCACCCGGCTCCGCCTGCTCGCCAGAGGCCTCGCGGGCATGGCCGGGCCGCTCAAGTCCGTGGACTACGAGGTGTTCGGGAGAGTGCAGGGTACGCGGGGAGGCCGAGGTGGCTGTAGGAGGGAGAGGGCGAGGGAGAGGGCGATGAGGAAGCTAGCGCCAGCCGTCTCAAGGACGCCTGGTCTCTCTGGGTCAGGGACTTCCGCTCCGTCATGACTCAGCAGCCGGGGATGCAAGGAGGCGAAGTGCGCGTGCGCAAGAGGGCTGGCGGGGCCCAGCGCGGAGGCTACCGGCGAAGGGCGGAGGGAGTACCCAAAGGGGCGGGGTACCCATAGGGGTACCCTAAGGGGCAGCTGCTAGCAACAGGCTATTGGGAAAGGAAAAATCAGAGGGTTATTCGTCACAGAAACTACTTGGGTTTGATAATTGGATGGTTTGATTTGTCGGAGGTTCTAACAGTCCCTCCCTAACTTTCTATAGTAGTTTTTCCAACTGGGATTCTGGGGTTGAACCCAGGGCTTTGCATTTGTGCACTTCATCCCTGGCCAGCTTAAATAAGGTTACCTATTTTTTTTTTGCCATCATAAGCTTAAGTAGTTGCAAAGGTTGTAATGTCTCACTTATCGTAAAAAAATTTATTTGTAAATTAAAATGTTAAAACAATGGTTGAAATTTACCTAATAAATACTGTAGTAATTTACTGTCTACCATCATTCATTTAAAAGGAAAAAGTATTTTGGACTGAGGAGGTAGCTAAGTTAGTAGAGTGCTTGCCTAACGTGCTCTGAGCTCTGGGTGGGATGCTCATCACTGCATCAGCAAGGGTGTGGTGGCACACTCCTGTCACCCAGCACCTGGGAGGTGGCTACATAGAATGTTCAAGGCCAGTCTGGGCTAATGAGACCCTGTCTCCAAAGTAAAAAGAATACTGTTTAACAGGGAATTTTTACACCCTTTCTTTTCCTCTGAGTTTGATTTCCATTCCAGCTCCTCCACAGAATTTTATTCCATTGTTGTGCTTGAGAATTTCTTTTCTTTTTTTTTCTTAAAAAAAAAGTTTTGGCTTGTCGTGGTGGTGCCACCTTTAAGCCCAGCACTCAGGAGGCAGAGGCAGGCCAATCTCTGTGAGTTCAAAGCCATCCTGGTCTACATAGTGAGTTCCAGGACAGCTGGGGCTACAGGGAGACCCTGTCTCAAAAAGACCAAAAAGAAAAAGTTTTATTTTTTTATAAAATTTTTTTAAATTTAATAACCACATGATTAGAAGAAGCATTTCCTTACAGCTTTAACATATTCAGTAACACATTCCAGAGCAAGGATACATCTCTTTCAAAGGTGGCTGTAAATTTTTAGGTTCACAGTTGAATTAATACAGTCATACAATATTGAACTCAGTATAAGCCCTGTAAGACATAAAATTGAATGAGTTTTTACCCTTTAAAGAAGATCTCCATTTCATTTTAAGCTACTAACGCTTAGATGTTTGCACATGTGTCTTTAATCTCTATCTGATTATTACTAGTCACAGTCGGTTACACTTGGATCCTTAGCACCTGAGTATGGATATAAAGTCATCAGGTAGATTTCACTGGTAATGTTTATCACCTCTAGAGAATTTCTTTATTGCACTTTCCTAATGTGTGTGCATGTGTATGTGCACTTAAAATACTTCATTTTCTTTCAATAAGGCTCTAAGTGTCACATTCTTTTTCTTCTGGATTGTGCTACTTTGCAATTATTAGAATACAACTGATGAAAATAATATAAATATCTTAAGTATGGTAACCATAAATTTAAAAGGTAAGTTTGTATTGGAATTTTATTTCTAAGTGGAAAAGCTGGTAGTTTTTAATGGAAGTTTGATTAAAAGAGGGACTGATTATCCTTTTATTTTGGTATTCTATAGATTGTTACACTCTAGGGAAACGTACTAGGGTAAGGTTGGAAATGGGTGAAAGTATGTCTTTTGTAAAGAGCCTTTCTTTCAAAGATTCACTGTGAAAGGAGGAAGGAAAGGAATGCCACAGCAAAGTGTCAAGCCGGGTTTAGGAAAGGGTACAGGTGGAAGTTGAAAATTTTAAATTGAGTCCCTTAAATTCTCCTTGGGTTTGTGCCTTAAGAAACTACAGGGGCTTGCAACTGTGGTTGAAAATTGCCACAATAAATCACTGACACACATTATCTAGAATATGAAAGTGGTGGCAAAGGTCGACTGAAAACATTTGGTTCAGTGAACAGGGATGGCAGTAGTGATGTGTGTTAATGTGCGTTTGTGTGTGTGCACGCACGAGCGCGAGCGCCTGCTACACACATGTAAATGCACATGTAGGAAGTTTATTGAGGATGCTTCTTGAGCTGAGCATCTCATAGTTCCTTAGTTCTCATTACAGTCTGGTGAGACACCTGCTGTATTTATGTTTTAACAAGAAGGAAAAAGGTACAGAGAGGTTTAGTAACTTGGAGAAACCTGTGATGATTATTTTTCATTGTGAACTTGCCACAGTCTAGAATCACCTGGGAAGAGAGTTTCAATGAGGGATTGTCTGCATCAGGTTGGCCTGTGGGCATGTGAGCATGGGATTGTCTTGATTACATTAATTGCTGTGGGAAGACCAGGCCACTGTGGGTGGCACTATTCCCTAGGCAGTGGATCCTGGACTGTAAAGTGTAAAGAGGATGTGACTAGCTGCCACAATGATGAACAAAAACCTGGAATTGTAAGCCAAATAAACCCTTTCACACTTAAGTTGCTTTTTGTTGAGTGTTTTTATCACAGCAACAGAAATGAAATTAGAACAAAGCCCTTAGCCAGATGAAATTTTCTCTCATATCTCTCTGACTTTAAATTTTATACTTTTTCTTTTGGTAGTGCTGGGAGTTGAACCAAGGGCCTTGCACCTGTATTCTACCACTAGGCTATATCTTTATTGTTTTTAATTTTTTTATTTCATTTTTGTGTATTTCATACAGAACATCTTAATTATCTTTATATCCCCTTCCCCACTGACACCCTCCCATAGCCCCCCCACCGGAATTCATACATTCTGTCATTTGTGTTAAGTCCTATCATGTCAAATTAGTGTCTCCAGACGTCCCACAGTACAAGTTTATCCACTGGGGTCTAGTCAGCCTATCTAGAGTCCTTCCCTTTAAGAAGAGCAGCTCTTTCTCACCCAGCAGTAATCAACTGCCAATAATTCTTTAAGATTGGGCTTGTTGCCCATTTCTACAATTCTGCTCTGGGGTTTTGTTTGCTTGAGTTTGCATAGGTATTGTGCATGTTGACATCATTGCTGTAGTTCATATGAGCAAGGTCCCAGGAGCCTGTAGGACTCTTATTTCTGTACGGTCATGCACCTTCTCCCTGGCTTTTAAAATCTTTCTACCCCCTTTTCCACAATTGTTCCTGAGCCCTGGGTAGGTGGATTTTAGCATAGGAGACCTGTTCAAGGACCCACACTCTTATTCTCTATGTTTTGGCCATTTGTGACCTTTTGCCTTCCTGGCCCTCTGTTGCATGAGGGAGCTTCACTGGTGAGAATTGAAAGATGCATTAGTGTTCTCTTTGTCCCTTGTTTTATGTTCTGTGAGCCTTAGGTGTAGAGATTGCATCATAAATAGGCCACTTAGGCTTGGGCAATTCACAGACAATCTCTGTGTGTGACCAGTTGTGGAACTCTGTAATCTCTGTCTGTTGAAAAAGAAACTTCTTTATGGATGGTGACTGGGATACTTCTCTGTAATTTAAGAATCCATATTTTGCACATAGTAAGAAACTACATTTGATTAGGGATATGACAACCTTGGGGGTTTCTCTTAAGATCTATGACCTCTCCAGCTATGTGTATTTGGATAGGTTTACAGTACCACACACGAGTTTCCTGCCACTGAGTTGGTTTTGTCCGATTAGATAGCTGTTGATTACCCCCAAGATAAAAGTACCATTACTGCACCAATGTCCTTTGTCGTGCCAGTCATTGATGTGGTTTTTAGGCCTTGGAGTTGGGGGTGGACCATCATTTGAGGTTCTCCCTTAGCAGCTTGCATAGTGCTCTCCAAAGCTATGAGAGCTGGCTTTCAGGAGAGGTGGCTTCAGTTCCAGCTCCATTGCTCCAAATCCTATGTCCAAGGTATGTCTTGCCTTCAGCAATAGGGTCTTACCTTCAAGTTCTGGGAGACAATCAAGGGCTGTGGCATAGCCTGTGTAATTTGGAGATACTCTTGGACTACCCTGGCCAACAACTCAAAGGAAGTTTTCTCCCACACTATTTCTTGTTAGGTATCCTAGAGCTCTCTCTACCCATGGACTCATGTAGGTATCTTGTATGTGTAAATTTTCAGTAGGTTTTTGAATTAATGATTCCCTCTG